TTGCACAATAACCACGTCGTGCATGGAGATCTCAAAGGGGTATTCTATTTCCATTTTTCTGAGATCAGACTGGCCAACTATCATGACAGACGAACATTCTCATTACTCCCTCGAGAAGAGCCTGCATTGCGGACTTTGGTCTTTCCTCCATAACCGATGCAATGTCTCTGCGATTCACCCATTCTACGCACAGTGTTGGAGCAGGCACTGCACGGTATCAGGCACCAGAATTGCTCTTGGGCGAAAGCTCAAACCATTTTGGCTCGGATGTGTACGCGTTTGCCTGCGTGTGTTACGAGGTACGTCAACCGCGGGCCATTTCTTGATGCTGAACATGACAAATATTCGGACAGATATTAACCGGAAACGCACCCTTCTTCGAACTCGCCAATGATATGGCGGTCGGTATTAAGGTGATTCGAGGACACCGCCCTTCAAGACCGGAAATGATATCCGATAGCCTTTGGACATTACTTGAAGACTGCTGGGCCCAAGATCCCGATAAACGGCCGACCATGGCTGAAATAGTCCAGAGGCTTGTCAGCCCAGCGATTGGAGCTTCGAAAATCACATCCCAAATAGATTGGGACGAGACATACAGCTCTAGATTCCGCCGCTCGGTCCAGCAATGGCCTCTTCTTCAGTCAGTTCCCGAAATAGAGCGCAGAGTCTTCTTCGATCCTTCAAGTTGTTCAACCTGATCATTTGCAGTATTTGCTTCATCTTCGAAGGCTATAGTACGATAAAAATATGTATACCACCTGAGACCGGGTGGTTCTGTTCCCGTGCTGAAATGTGTGAGCAAAAATGGATAGCAAGGTTTTCCTGCGATATGGCGCATAAAATAGCAAATGAACAGGAGCATCCTCTTTGCCCGATATGTCCAATATGGAACAGTGCATATCATACATCGAGTTTACAGCGCACATTTCAAAGTTGATTTGGCACTGGAACTGCATTTACCGGCTCAGGGCCGCATTGGTTTGGGTTTAGGAAACACCAATTTTGAATGTAACACGAAGATATTTGGAGACTTTGGAAAAAAAATGTTCCCGACACCAGAATCATCACCCGGCCCCAAATCGAACGGTGCTCAATATGCCATCTTGACTATGAATATTTTTAACAAGAGGCAGCGTACCCCCGGGTGTATATTATAGGTCCTTCTTTATACACCCTCCAAATTACACATATGATATGGTTGTCACTTGTCCCTCATCATCCATGATCGCAACCAGTCCTAGGGAATCATCAAGGACAATATCTCTGCAAGAGGACAACGTCACATCTCCGGTGTCAAGTTTGCGAAATGTTGTGTGCGGCGCCGGAAGTGGACGGAAGTGCACCAGTCCCAAGTATGGTTCAAGGTAGGGCTCCTCCTGTCTGACCAGGAAGAGAACGTGGGTGCCTGAAACACCCACTGCCACCTTTGAAATGCGGTCAGGGTGTTGGTAGAAGTAACCTGGCCCGAACTCTATATTGTCTGAGTCGGGAATTGCATGTCCGGGCCAGAAATGAATCAAACTGATTTCTGTGTCTGAATCAGGCCTTCCAATTTTGCCGACCCGAGAAGTGACCGCAAAAATTCCGTAATGGGGCGCAAACACACGGGGGTAAATTCTCCAGCCGAAACCAGGGTCAAATGCGCGAACCTCTGGCGTGTTGGTTGCACTGAGTTGCGTTGGAGTGGGGCCAGGGTGATCAGATGGGATCCGTTGAACAGAGCGAAGAAAAAATGGAAGGCTCCATACTGTGGGGTTGAAAGTAGTCGGGTGCGCGAAAAAGAGATACAGGGTCTGTCCAAAGGCTAGACATGGCACCCTCCTCTACGAATGCTCAATACGGTGAATTTCAACCTACGAGATTTTCTCACCTGACTTGGGATGGCTTGTATGAAAGCACCTGGGGTAGTCTGCAATGCGGCATCTGCATTCATAGACCAGGTCACGATATCTGTTGTTGTGCAGAACCCCATAACTTGAGGGTTAATAAATAGGTGTTTAAATAGATGCCTGCTGGGTGGAGAAATAACATGGGAAATGGAAATGTGAGCTCGATCGCGGAAATCGATGCAGATGACCGCCAGGCGGAGACTCCCACCGCTGCAATACAACATTAGCTAAGGTCTGCGACACGTCAGGGCAATGTAAGTACATACCTGAGCGCCACTCCGATGAGTGCTTTCCCCTTGATTCCCGTAGTACAGAGTGCACTATTAAAAAATTCCAATTCATTATTCAAGTGCGCTACACGCTGCGAGGTAAGAGTGTCCCAGCAACTGACACTCCCTTTGATGGTATAGGCCACGATGAGGTTGGCTCCTGGAATGAAGAAGATGATAGTCCCGGCGGCCTCCACGGAAAAATTGCCTCTGCGGAAAGGACGTGGTTTCTCAGATTTGAAGTTTTTCATCCGTCGATCAGCCCTCCGCACAATGTTCTGCAGTTCAGTGAGAGACAGCGTGTCGACCGAGTCCGCAGGCGACATGGGGAGAGGTTGCATTTCCACCTCTCTTATGCGGATTAGAGCGTCAAGCCAAAGGGTCCTCTCGAACTGGAGTTCGCGGCTGATGCGGCAGAGCTAGGAAAACAAGTAGTACTCGTTAGCTATCGCGATTGGTGACCGCATACGCATAATCGCTGACCCACCGAAAGGAAGCTGAGGAGATCGGCAACATCCAATCGTTTGGCAAGCTCAAGGAGGAGATCTTGGGGAAATTCGGTGATGCTCAGTGACATGGTGTCAGGACTCGAGATGCTGTGCCCGTAAGCAATCAGTTTGACGGCGTAGATGTTTATCATGATCATGATTCGCTCGGCGATTGCCACTATGGAGACTAAGCTGGTACTGGTTCTAGCTGATTTTAATTATTCGAACCGGAAAAAAAAATCACCCGGCCCCGAGCCGAACTTGAATTGAGTGAGACCTCCTGCAATTTTGTAATATTCCGCTCCTTTCGTGTTTGAAGATCAGCAGGTCCATGTGCCTTCGGATTCGGGATGGTTGAATTTGCATTGTACGAGCGTTTAGCATTGGTTTGGGACACATCCCAAGCTTTGAATTCCGTACAGAGAACGGGCTCAATGAAACAAAAAACATCCAACCCAACTCAGCAAGACCCAAAATTGAACAAAAACTTCATTTCGACTGAGCTAGCATTATTTCTGAGATGAGTGCAAATATACCATCGGGTGGTCGCGCTGTGGTTGATTTCACAGCGAGGTCAAACAATGCAAATTCCAGAGGGATGACGTTGAAATTGAACATGTAATAATCGCCGCTGAATCCTCTACTCTGACTGCCCCTATTGGAGCTGATACTGGTTCTAGCTGATTTTAAATTAGTCTCTTATAAACAGACGCTACAACGATAGAGTGCTCGTACCTCTCATGTTGTAATTTTAAATTATTCAAGCCAGGGAAGAAAAGAAAGAAAAGAATAAAAAATCACCCGGCCCCGAGCTTAACCCTCCTGCAATATTGCAATATTGCAATATCCCGTTCCTTTCGTGTCTGAAGATCAGCAGGTCCATGTGCCATCGGATTCGGGATGGTTTACGGCGTATGGGCGTTTGGGACACTGCGAGACCCCAAAATTTCTTGCCATTGACAGAGAACGGGATCAAGGGCCTAACCCAACTCAGCAGGACCCCAAATTGAACAAAAGCCTCATCTTGACTAAGTTAGCGTCATTTAAAACTCTAAGATGGGCGCACGCAATATGCCATCATGTGGTTGACTTTACAGCCCATTTACAGTCAAACAATCCAAATTTTGGATCCGGCTCTGGAAGACTGACGTTGATATTGAACATGGGAGACCTGCTCACTGCATTGTAGCGGCGCGCTATCAGGCGCTCGAGCTCGTTGTGGAGTCGGGCCGAATAGATGGACACGGATTTTTTTTACAAAAATCTCGCTTTCATCACCTGACCTCGAGTCGAACGGGCTCCTGCAATATCACTAGGGCCCCAACCCGTCCGTCCCGTCCGTCGCGGCCTATTAACGGGTTGCACCCGTCCCGTCATTACGGCCGTTTTGGGCCGGGTCGACGGGTCTTAGCAGACACAAATCGCGACAAGCAGATGCATTGGTAGGTCTAAAAATATATCTAATCTTCCCCGGCTGCCTTCTCAAGTGCCTCCCGCACCACACGTAACGGAGATTTGACGAACATCAAGGTTTGCATACCACCTTCAAGTTCGCGCGATGAAGCCTAATTGTGTTGCGGCAGCCGGATAAAATGCGCTCAACAGTAACGGCTGAGCCTTGAATTTGAGACAGGAATCCACTTCCTGGTGTGCCTGGAAATCCCCGTCGAACCCGTCAAACGGGCGGGAATTTAACGGGTACCCCGTCAATGGGTCAACCCGTCCCGTACCCGCCGCCCCGTTTCAGTATCGCCTCTCAGACCCCGACGGACGGGTTCCGTCCTGCCCGTCCCGCCCATCAACCCTTTTCTGATATTAATTCACTTTATCCTGCCGTAGAAAACGGGCACAGGTTGGAGCCCTAAATATCACCTCAGGTTCAGGCTCAATTCGCAAGATGGGGATACACCACCGGGTGGTCAAATACCCTCAGTCCTGGGTCGCTTCTATGTATTTATAATTTGGGTGTTAAATTAAATTGACCCCCTCGAACGCGAAAAGTCAAAAGAGGAAGAGGAAGACAGGAGGTGGCGGTGCTCCTGACTTTGTGTGGGTTGTGAGGCGTGTGATCGTGTTTTGATCTCGAACCACCTCTGCGACTCGATGCGGACCTGCGGAAGACACGGCTTGGGATCCCGGGATTCGCGGGACTTGGACTTGGACTTGGGATACTTGGACTTGGATCCGGCATGGCGCTGACTCTTACTGGCACCCGGGGTGAATTTGAATCTACCGTGACTTGCTTGACTCCGAGTCCGGGACCTGTGTACCGCAAATCCACTACTCAGGCCAACAGTGCATTTTTTAATTAGTCTGAGGTCATCCTAGGGTATCTCTTCTAGAATCATCACGCCCTCGTAGATCAACGGTAGATCGTCCACATCGAATATCCAGACGGTATGAAAGTTTGATTGGGTCGCGTGGGTTCGACTCCCGCCGGGGGCGTAGATGTGTTTATTCGCTTTTTTTTTGTTCTGAGGTGACATTTTTTGAGCGCTGCTCTCACTCTAGATTCTGGATTCAGAATCCTGGAGCTCGAGGGAAAGCAAACGGTGTCTCCCCGTCGGCGGGTGTATGCCAGTGGTGTATGATGCATGTCAAGACTCAAGTTACTTGGCTGCTTGCGCTTGACTTTCAAGTTACTTGGCTGCCTGTTCTTGACCTTTGTCTTGTCTTGTGCGACATCGGCTCTCGCGAGCTTCCTTGGTCCCCGCCATTCGTCGCGTCGCGGTTTCCAAACTATTGAGCGTCGAGCGATGGAGCGGAGGACCGAGGTTTACGTGGGTCCTGGACTCCTGGACTCCTGGGGCCGCGTTCATTCGTATTCGATAGGTATCACAGTCATGATTTGCTCGGCGGTTGCCAGTGGAGCTGCTGGGCAGAATGATCACCGTCGGAGGACAGATATGTACGACGGATTCGCGTGTTTTATGACTCTTGAAAACTGACTGTGACTGTATCACGGAGTACCTGCTACCCGTTGCCAGTGCTTCAGATGGCCGCCGTTAGTGAGATATCTCCGTCAATAGCAATATACGTGGCTCTCCAAAAAATCGGACCTGCGCCCAAATAATAATAAAATAAATATCCTCGTGTACGACGCGTGTAAGTTACGCGCTGTCCAACGTTCGTGTCCGTCTGAAGTGATCAGAACGACGGACATGGCTTGGACCCGTCGGGGCACTTTGACCAAAAAAGGAAATGAGCGGTGATCTGTGACCTAACCGGCGGCTGGTCCAATATAGACTCGCTTGACGACTGCGCCTAGACAATCTCTCTTCAACTCGTACCACCACCATCAACACCAGAAAGAATGAGCTTCCTCAAGAAATTAGAGACCTTCGCTAGCCACGCGCGCGACGAGGCTATTGGTGTGTTCTCCCGCTTTACCCCCTTCCTTGTTCTATTTTTTGAAGTAAGCATCGACTAACTTTACCTCACTTTTGTACAGGTATTTGGAATCCCAATCGTACGTCCTTTCAAGGTTACAGAGAAAGCAAGAAGAGTTAACATGTGGTGTAGGCCGCCACGACGACCCCGAGGAGAAACGGCAGGACGAGATCCGCGCAGAGATCAACGCGGGGCATCGCTTCAATAGTTTTGCGACTGAGCGCGAGGGGAATTTCGTTAAATGGTGGGTCCAACTGCAATCTTCAATTGCGCGGACTGACTTGTGCGATGCAGGCACATCGACGGACATGACTACTTCTGGGCGCTATCGGAGATGCTCGACAGTGCGCGCGAGGCGATCTTTATCCAGGTCAGTCTGCGTGTCTTGTCTTGCCTTTCATCGACGTGGCGAGCGCTCGGATGCCGCCCGCCAATGCTAACTCCTAATCAATACCCGAATGCTAACCTCGCCCCGTAGGACTGGTGGCTCACGCCCGAGCTCTACCTCCGCCGCCCGCCCGCGTACCACCCCGAGTGGCGCCTCGACAGGCTGCTCAAGCGCAAGGCCGAGGAGGGGGTCCAGGTTCGTGTCTTTTCGCCACGTTCCTTTCTGCTTCACTCCCGTTGTCGCACTTATCGCGTCGTCGTGATTCGATGTGCGCGGGACACTTTCTTTGAGAGGCAGAGTCGACCTCCCCCCTCCCTTTCGTCTCCCTCTCCCTACATCCTCGATACGATACTCACACACCTAACCGCAGATCCACATAATCGTCTACAAAGAAGTCACGCAGACCATGTCCATGAGCAGCAAGCACACCAAGAACTGGCTCGAGTCGCTCCACCCGAACATTACGTGCCTGAGGCATCCGGACCATATTGGGGCGAAGGGTGCGTTTTTTTTGGATTTGGATTGAAACTTGGGTTTTCCTTGCTTCTTTGGGGGAGAGGAAGGCGAGAACGTATTTGCGCTCTTGCGAGAGCGTGCTGTATTGCGCTCTTGGAGTGGAGTGGAGCTTGTCGTCGAGCCTTTGCCTCTGCCTTTGGAGGCGGAGGAGGAGTAGGAGGACATTTTCGTCGAATCCGCCTTCCCCGCCTTTTCGCTCTTCGCCCTTCCCTTCCCACCCCTTCCCTCCCTCTTATCTTGTGGGTGGACGAGAACGCATTTGCGCTCTTGCGAAGGCGTGCTGTATTGCGCTCTTGGAGTGGAGTGGAGCTTGTCGTCGAGCCTTTGCCTCTGCCTTTCGAGGTGGAGGAGGAGTATGAGGATATTTGGTCGAATCTGCCTTCCCCGCCTTTTCGCTCTTCGCCCTTCCCTTCCCACTCCTTCCCTCCCTCTTATCTTGTGGGTGGACGAGAACGCATTTGCGCTCTTGCGAGGGCGTGCTGTAGTGCGCTCTTGGAGTGGAGTGGAGCTTGTCGTCGAGCCTTTGCCTCTGCCTTTCGAGGTGGAGGAGGAGTATGAGGATATTTGGTCGAATCCGCCTTCCGTTCCTCGCTCACCCTCCCTGCTCCCCTCCCGTCCCCGTCTCCCTACTTTTGTCTTCACACTCACTCTCTTCCCACTCCTCCCTCTCACTTTTCCCCCTTCTCTCCCTCTTATCTCTCCCCTCTCTTCCTTCACCCCTTCCCCCCTTTTTTCATTCTCATTCCTTTCGAAAAATCCCTTGCTGATCCAAACGCACCCTAGACACCGTCGAGTTCTGGTCGCACCACGAAAAGGTCGTCGTCGTCGACAACCACTACGCGTGCATCGGGGGGCTGGATATCTGCTTTGGGCGGTGGTGAGTCTTTTTTCATCTTCCTCTTTGTGTCGGTGTTCTTTTTCGGCTTGCGCTTCGTGTCATGGTCTTCGTATTACCCTTTTTCGACTTTTCTATAAGAGGAGAGGACAGGGCGTTCTCAGATGCGGCGGAGTGCCGTACTCCAGGGCGTCCTGGTCCTCTCTACGGCGTCTTGGGCGCTGTATTGCTCCTGCTTTTGGCGTATGATTATTCACGTTCTTGATCTTGGATCTCTCTCCTTCCTTCTTTCTCCCCCTTCGTCTTTTTTTCCCTTCCTTTAACTCATTTTTTAACTTCCTTTACCTCATTTTTAAAAACCTTTAACTGACGATAACGTTCGCAGGGACACCCACACGCATCAACTCGCGGACGTGCACCCCACAGACTTTTCGCTCACGCTCTTCCCTGGGCAGGATTATAATAACGCGAGGTGCGTTTTCGCTCTCCAGTTTCTTATATCTTTTGAGCTGACGTAAACGCAAAACAGGATCATGGACTTCCAGAACGTGTACAACTACGCGAGCAATGCGCTGAGCGAGCTGGAGAGTCCGCGGATGCCGTGGCATGATGTGCGTCGGGTTCTTTTCTTTTCTTTATACCTACGCGAGAGCTGGCACTGTGTCTCTCTGTTTTCGCGCGACGCGATTTGTGTCTGGCACCCGCCGAATAAAAACATAAAACATGAAACTGACGCCGCACCCGCACAGGTCCACATGACCCTCACGGGCCCCGTCGTGCTCGACATCGTGCAGCACTTTACGGAGCGCTGGAACGAGATCAAGAAGAGGAAGTATAAGGATATTGCGTACGTTTTTTTCTTTCTTCTTTGCGCTTTCGCGTTCTCTCCCTCTGCCCTGCCCAAACGTGTACCTTGGCCGAATTCGTTGCTCGATATCTCTTTTCTCCTCCCCTCTTGCCCCTCGGCGACTAGAGACGAGTTTCCCGACGCTTGACGCCAGCCACGAAAGGGCAGCAGGCGGGCGACGACGAGGGCTTGGGCGCCCGGAGAATAAGAGCTTGAGGGCCAGCACGAGCTCGACGCCGACGCCGAGCCTGAGCCCGAACGCGCTCCCTCCACCCTCTTCACCTTCCTCTCCTCTGTCTTATTTTTGGAGTATTCGCTGACACCGCCCACAGCAAAGTCATCTGGCTCGCCCTCCCGCACAACGTCCAGGCGGGCCCGAACGAGGCCGTCGTCCGTGCGTCCACCCTCTATCTCTAAAGTTCCAATCACTCACTGACCTACGTACGCACGCACAGGCCACCCCCACCGCGAGACCTGGCACGCGGCGGGCCACCGCTATAAGCAGCGCTGGCTCGGGTACCCCGCCGACGACGAGGAGCCCGAGCCGGAGTACGCCGAGAGGCAGAATCCGGGGATGCGCGTGCAGGTTGTGCGGAGCGTGAGCGATTGGAGCCATGGGGTGTTGACGGAGCATAGTATTCAGAATGCATGTGAGTCGGCGTGGCGGTTTTCGCTGGGTTTGGGAGGGGGGAGGTTGTGCTGCCTATCAGTCTTCGCCCTCGAGAGGAAGGGAGAGGGATCCGAAACTACCCCCTCCCCCGCACTGTAGACGAGACAAGGAAGGAGCTGACTTGTTTCTGCAGACATCAAGCTCATCAGTGAGGCGGAGCACTTTATCTACATCGGTGCGTTTCCCTCATCCTTCCCTCCTCCTCCCCTCTTCCTTCGCTCGACCATCCATGCTGACGTAGGTTTGCGCTGCAGAGAACCAGTTCTTCATCTCGGCGACGTACGACAAGGACGAGGTGAAGAACCAGATTGCGGCCGCGCTGGTGGAGCGCATTGTGCGTGCTGCGCAGAATGACCAGAAGTTCCAGGTGAGCTCGCTTGCTCTCTACCTTGCCGCGCACGGGTCCCTACCTCCCGCGAGAAAACGCATGCATTGGACTCACGCCACCCCGCAGGTCATTGTCGTCATCCCTGAGGTCCCTGGGTTTGCGGGAAGCATCAAGGACGAGGGTTCGCTGAAGATCATCATGGCGGCCCAGTACCGCACGATCAATCGTGGTGGGCGGAGTATTTATGAGGAGGTTCGGAAGGCTGGGTTCGAGCCGTGCGTGTTTCTTTCTACCACTCTTTGAGTTCCAGAGACGCTGACGGGTGCACGACAGCCTCGACTTCATCCGCTTCTACCATCTGCGCGCTTACGACCGCATCAATGCGCCGCTGTGTGCGTGCTCGTTCCCTCTCCGTTCAAAGCAAATGTTGATTAATTCGTTTTTTATAGCGACGTACATCCAGGAGATTGA